AGAAACGTTGAAATTCGTACAGAATTAGGAAGATGAAGAGTTCTTGATGACGGTGCTAGGTGGAAGAGAGAGAAAGAGAGGGAGAGTACTTGTAAAGGTGAGGGGCACATTAACCCAGCTCAGTCGCCATCAGAGGGCAAGATAGTAACTTCCGCTGGGCTTTTTCTGAAAAGAGTCAATTCGGGCCTCGTCGCAAATACTATGCGTATTTGGGCTATTCCTACATGGGGCAAAGTACAGGGGGGCTAGTCACACGAAGTTCCCACTTTTGGGGCCTGGACACATTTTTCCCAAAAAAATAACATCAAGTTATTTATATGAGAATTATAGAAATCTGAAGAGAAATTTGGACTACTCCTGCTTATAAATACACCATGTAAATCTCCAGCTCTTTCAGCGCCATGTAATAAATTTGAGAGGTCTTCGCTGCAAAGAAGGAATAAATACGGTGACAAAAGGGTCACCTTGACGAAGACCCCTTGTCGGCATAATAGAACAATGATTTTTGCTATATATTCAACATAAGAGATACACCGCATAATCGGCTCAATCCATCTCTCATAATTAATAAGTCTCTTGATATCTTAAATTTCTAATCAACAAAATCTTACCATATAGCATTGTTAGAAAAATATTGAACAACAGCCCCTAAACAATTTATAATTTGTAGAAAACACTACTCTAAAAATTTAAAAACTTGCAAAAAAAAAAAACAATTCAAATTAAAAATTCTAAAAAGACCTTGAGAATTTCAAACCTAATAGTCCACTGAGAATATGAGAACTACAGATAGAACTACAAATAGTTTTTAATTTGTATAAAACACACTAAAAGTAACAAAAATTCTAAAAAACCCCTCAAAATTGACAGTTTGTGAAAAACCATGAGAATTTCAAACCGTCTCAATCAATACACTAAAAAATGAAAAATAAAAACAGACCCATAAATAGTTAGCAATTTGCACAAAGTATCCTAAAATTTTCAAAAATTGTAAAAAACCCCTCAAAACTAAAAATTTACAAAAAACCCCGAGAATTTCACACACCAAAAATTCAAATTTGTCAAAAAACCGGGAAATTTAAACTTGATAATACTATGAAGATATAGGAATTCAATATGGCCCCCATAAACAATTTGTAATTTATGAAAAATAGTCTGAAAGTTTAAAAAATAGCAAAACAATGAAAATTAAAATTTATAATAAGAGCCAGAGAATTTAAAACCTAACGGTACAATGGAAATATAAGAATTAAAAATATACTCCTAAATAATTTTCAATTTTCAACATCATCCTAAAAGTTTCTAAACGTGCAAAAATTTCTCAAAAATGCAAATCTCTAAAAATTTAAACAATAACTTAAACCTCCCTCACAAATTAGAAATTTATAAAAACAACCTAAATTTTCAAACCGAATGGTAAATTAAAAATATAAGGATTTCAAACAACTCCTAAAAACTTTATAACTTATATAAAACGCCCTACAACTTTAAAGATCTCCAAAACACCATCAAAATTCAAGATTAACAAAAAACTTGAGATATTCAAACCTAATAGTACATTGAAAATATGGTAATTATAAATAGACCCATAAGTAATTCTTAATTTGCATAAAATACCCTAAAAGTTTCAAAATTTGTGAAAAAATTATAATTGAAAATTTACAAAAAACCATGAGAATTTCAAACCCTCAAAAACATTATACTGAAAATTTGGAAATTAAAAATAGACCCATAAGTAGTTTGTAATTTACATAAAGCACCCTAAAAGTACCAAAAAGTATGAAAACCTCCTCCAGTTGAAAATTTACAAAAAAAGCTTTAAAATCATGAAAATTAAAAAGATTGTAAATAGATCCTCACAATGTCAAATGTGATAATATATTGGAAATATAAGAATTATAAACAGTCCTCTAAACAATTTTAATTTGTAAAGAATATCTTAAAAGTTTCATAAATTGTAAAAAAAATCCCACAAAATTGCAAATCCCTAAAATTTTAAACAATAACGAAAAAAACCCCTCACAAATTAGAAACTTATAAATACACCCTAAAAATTTAAACCTAATTGAAAATATAAGAATCTCAAATAGCCCTGAAGAATTTGTAATATCTAGAAAACACCCTAGAATTTTTTTTTTTAAAATGATTAAAAAACACCATCTAAATTTAAATTTTTTAAAGAAACTATGGGACTTTCAAACCTAACAGTACATAGAAATTATAAAATTACAAATAGGCCCATAAATACTTTGTAATTTTAATTTACAGCATAAAGCGTATCATTATGCAAATTTATGTCCAACTAATAATAACAATAATAATGATTGCGTCAAAAAAACGTGCCATGAAAGTTTGTTCACTGATAATTAGATAAAAATATCCTATTTTCTCAGGTTGAAATTTGTATCTTCATGTCATTTAATTTTGTATTTTTATTGTCTCTTTTGTAAATTTACAAAAAATCTTGAGAATTTCAAACCATCAAAATTTAAAATAAAAAACCCCTAAGAATTTTGAACCTAATAGTATAATGAAGATATAGGAATTACATATAGCTCCAAAAAAATTGTAATCTATAGAAAATACCTTGAAATTAAAAAAGGACAACCCAATAGGGTGAATATTAAGGGACATTCACATTGTTTATATTTAATAATTTTAATAACTACTTTTAATAGTTAATAGAAAAAGAAGATCTTATAACATTTATTAGTTTAACTATAGGACAATACCATTTTAATTCCTTTTTTTTGCTGGAGATTTATTCCATAAAGTTATACCCTATTTTCTCTAGCTATCTACAGTGTGCATATACATTTGTAAATTAATCCCTAATTTAACATATTAAATTAATTTTCTTTTGTAGAAGTTTATTCTCTATTTTTGGATTTCATAATCACTACACAACAGTTTCTAGCATAAATATATATATATATATATATATATATATGAATCTCAACTACTAGCCTATGAGGATCAATGTTTGCATATATATACTTTATAATTTATTTAAAGGATCATTTTATATTATGTAATAACATTGATTTAATACTGAGTAATAATATATTTGCTAGGACAAATTCTCCATGAACCAATATGTTTCTAATTATATAAGCTACGCACTCCAAAATCTTGTGTCTTTTTTGGAGCCAAAAAGTTTGAACACAAGCCTCCAATATTTTATTGTGACAATGGTGAAATCCACCTAGCAGATGTGAATATTCTAGATGAATTACATGCCCTTTATACAATGCAATCACTATAAGAAATTGAGTTTCGAAGCCACACTAGAGCGTATCACATCATTTTCTCATTCACATCATTTGGGATAAAATTTGATATGGAGTTCACATCAAATGGAAAAGAAACTGTTAGCTATTTAGTGTTTTTCACTTTCACAACACTAACACTATCCTTCCTCAGGTATTAGATAATGCAAATATGAGCGAAACCACAAATAAGAACTTGATGGATATATTGCAAGGAAACCCAAAAGGAAAAATTTCTTCACAAATTGAATGATTTCCCATCTAGCAAATGTCAGAAGAATCTGCTTAGTAAATTGTTAGCTATTTACGCCTCATTTGTTACGTGAAAATGATTGGGAATGGAATGACAATTCTCACTTCTTATTCATTTGTACCAAACATGACCTCATATTGGAAGCTAGAATGTTGATTCCCATTTCTCTTCTCATTCCCTCTTAAGTGAGAATGAGCATTTCCAATAAGATGGTAGGGAATGGGCATTCTGACTTAAATGAAAAAGAAAAAAAAAATATAAATTTTCAAATAAGTTTATTCCCAATTTATTCTCTAAATTGCACCCAAACATGAGAATGAAAAATAGCATTCCTTTCGCACATTATTTTGGTTTCATTCCCTTCCTCTTTCCATTCTCGCTTCATTTGATTTCCACATACCAAACAAGGTGTTAGTGTTTTTTACCTTTATAATACTATCCTTCCGCATGCCAAGTTCTTTGTGTAGAAATTTGTTTATATTTCAATTCAAAATGAATTTGACTGAGCTATAGTAAGGAAATAAACCAAAAAATAAATAATAATGATATTTAATCACGTGCATTTTTTATCTGTATAAAAACTAGTATTAATAAAGTCAAAACATCCCCCAAATTTCAGAACACAATTTAAAACGCATTTTTGTATTTTGAGATAAGTGTTTTATTTTTGCTCTTTGCCCATAACTGTTTTGTTTTCCCATAAAAAACACAATGGTCTCTTCTTTTGGTAAAAACATTATGGAAACATACAAAAACACTATGGTTACCAAACAGACTTGGGATCCTCTCCTCATCCTAATATCTCCTCATGAGGAGAGGGAAGAGTTGGCAGGGAGGCCCACAAGGATGGGTGGCAAAATGAAAGGCCATGATCAAAATGAAAGGCCAGGATCTCCTCATGAGGAGATATTAGGAACTTTTCATGAGGAGAGGATCCTAGTCCAAACAGCTCCCTAAATTAAGTTTGTTTTGGTTTGCGGAGTTTAGATTTTGTTGGGTTTAGATCCAAATTCACTAGACCTAACCGTATGTGGAGTGTCCTGGCATATGACCCAGGCTAATATTTTTGATGCATGAGCAATTCATGAATCTCGAGTTGGAAATTGAATTAGATCCATCAGGAAATCATGAACCTAGATTTTGAATTTAGACCGGAGCAAAATCTGATTAGGGTTCATATAACCTGCGCCTATTTGCAACCAAGTGGATACCGATAACAGGTATGGCCCTCGAAATTGGATCGGGTTCAGCCACCTAACGACACGCTCATTTGGATTAATTATTACGTTTCCATGATTGACTGAGCCGGATGCATCCACTCGCCCCAAAAATAAATAAATAAAGTGGGGGGAGAAAAAGATTATCCCAATATCACCGGTTGAGGGAGAGAAGGAGAGATGGCGGAGTTTTCGCAAGCAGCAGTAGGATGGGCAGCGAGAGACGACAGCGGAGTCCTTTCTCCCTTCAACTTCTCACTCAGGTAACCTTGGTATTTTATTTTAGGGTTTGTTTTTTAATATAAATATATACCCCTTAAATTCTTTCGCCTTGACGATGACAAAGTTTTGTTAAAATTAAGGACAACTTTCGCCTCCTGTTTGCAGAGAAGCCCGCGGTGACGATATCATCTTGAGAGTACTATACTGCGGAATATGTCACAGCGATCTCTCAACCATCAAGAACGAATGGGGAAGTGCTCGGTACCCCCTCATCCCAGGGTAAATTATAAAAACACCTCATCACTTCATCGATCGGCGTTCGCCTCGTTCATTAATTAAGTTGATCGATCCCAATCGATCCTCTCATATCACCTGAACTCTTTTACAGTCATGAGATTGTAGGCACGGTAATTAAAGCAGGACCCGGCGTCCGAAAATTCAGAATCAACGACAAGGTTGGCGTGGGTTACATGGCCGACTCCTGCCTCGACTGCGACAGCTGCAACCAAGACGCGGAGAACTACTGCGCGAAACTCGTTCGCTCGTTCAACTCGAAATACACCGACGGGTCAACAATCTACGGAGGGTTCTCAAACTTTGTCATCGTCAAGGAGCATTTCGGCGTCAGGATTCCCGAGGGTTTACCCCTGGAAAGAGCTGCTCCTTTGATGTGTGCAGGGACAACGGTTTATTCACCGATGAGGTATTTTGGGTTCAACGAGGCCGGAAAGCATTTGGGTGTGGTCGGGCTCGGTGGACTGGGACACTTGGCTGTGAAGTTTGCGAAGGCTTTTGGAATGAGAGTTACTGTGATTAGTACGAGTCCGAGCAAGGAAAAGGAAGCAACTGAGGTTTTGGGGGCTGATTCATTTTTGCTCAGTAGTGTTCCTGAGCAGCTGAAGGTAAGAGAAATCGCATGTTGTTATGTTTTGTTAATGAAAATCACGAGCTACATGAATATGTTAGTGGTAATGTTAGTATTTCACTTGCATATAGCTCACAAGTTAGATTTTACAGAGAAAGATGCAATCCCATATATATAACCAGGAAATTGTCTAATTTATGTTCACAGAAGTAGAAGCATTCGCAAGTTTGGATTATTTCATTAGATAATGAAAATTCTCTCGTTTAAAATTCACCAAGTGTCTACCAATTTGGATCAAACTGCACTCAAAAGAATAGTGTTGTGTTGTGTAATAATATAGCTATATGATTATATAGTATATATATATAATATATATATATTAATTATATATATATATATATATATTAATATATTATATATATATAATATATATTATATATTTATATATAGTATATATATATATATATATATATATATATATATATATATATATATAAGAAACTTAGTGGACGTCACTTAAGTTGATAGGAAGTTTTTTATCTCTATATATATATATATATATAATATATATATATATATATATATATATATATATATATATATATATATATATATATATATTATATATATATTAATATATATATATATATATTATAATATATATATATATATATATATATATAGTAAATGAAAATGGGTATGCTTGGTACAAGCATAAATTTTTGCTTGGTAATGATGTGTCACATCTCATCCACTCACTACCCATGTAAATGTGGTCCATATTTGAATGAGTGAGAGGGATATATACACATCACTACAAGCACAATTTTTGTGCTTGGTAACCAAGCATACCCATATTGCTCTCTCTCTGATATATATATATATAAATATATATATATATAAATTATATATAGTAATTATATATATATATGGTGAGGTTCTAATAAAAACCTCCTTAGCCTAAAAACTAAAAACCTATGTGGGTCATTGGATCTATCTCATCCAATGGTTGAGATTAGAGCTCATACTGCAGTGAATCCAGATTCAGTTATGACAATAAGTGTCATTATTAAAGAGTACAATAAATTTGTCTGCCATTAAAGAGTGCAATAAATGCCATTATTCTTCAAAAAAACAAACAACTCACATAACTGAATCTGGATTCACTACAATAAATGTCATTATTCTTTATAAAACAAACACCTCACATAACTGAATCTGGATTCACTGCAGTGAATCGAGATTCACTTATACGTGTCTTCGTTTTTTCAACTGGAATTCCTCACCCTATATATGAGTGAATCTAGATTCACTATAGTGAATCCAGATTCACTGGAGTGAATCCAGATTCACAGTAGTGAATCTCGATTCACTACAGTGAATCCAGATTCAGTTATGTGAGGTGAAACTGGATTCGCTGGAATGTTTGTTTTTTGAAGAATAATGACATTTATTGCAGTGAATCCAGATTCAGTTATGTGAGGTGTTTGTTTTTTTGAAGAATAATGGCATTTATTACACTTTTTAATGACAGACAAATTTATTACACTCTTTAATAATGGCATTTATTATCATAACTGAATCTGGATTCACTGCAGTGTAAGCTCTAATCTCAACCATTGGATAAGATAGATCCAATGACCCACATAGGTTTTTAGTTTTTAGGCTAAGAAGGTTTTTATTAGAACCTCACCATATATATATATATATATTATCCTTTATGTGTGAATGCATGTGCATTGCACATGGGTAAATATCATTATTATTATTTTTTAGTTTTTTCCTCACTAACTCGGTTGTGAAATGTTTCTTTTATATTTTTCTGAAAAAGTAAAAAAAAAAATTATTGTCTATATACCAATACAGATAATCAAAAGTACTAAAATTACCATGACTAAAGTCAAAATTACTTGATCAATTCACATTAAGTAAAATTTACAATATATAGTACACAAAGGTCAAAATCCTTTTATTAAAAAAATGCAATTTGCATAAGTAATTTGATTCTCATGGCAAACCTATGTTCTCATCTTAAAATTTGCTCAAATTCACAATATAGTATCCTATTTTTTTATACCCTACACACTTTAATAATCTAATTATTTCCCCCTTCAATGTGATGCGCTATGAGGCTAATAAACTCTAAGGAAAAAGCATATTCCATTAGCTATGGATCTTGATTATGAAATGACTAATTGTTTATTTGTCATTATTGGAAATTTTCAAGAGGTTGATGGTAATTGTTGAATTTTAAAGAGGTTTATTTTCAATGTTATATTTTATCTGAGGGTTGTTTCTACTTTTAAAATAATGGATAATGAGTATGTTTGGTACTAAGGGCGTGTTTGGTTCATCCTAAATTATTGGAAACAATGTGTTTTTTTAGGATTTGGAACAAAAAGTAGGTTTTTTACCATTTTAGAATTCCAAAAGTTGCTTTTGTTTCAATTTTTTTCAAGAAAAGGTTTCTTTAAAAGCCTCTAAATAGTGGCTTTTTTTTTACAGCCCATTTCCTATCTTTTGGCTAGGAAATAGGCTAGAAAGCTGACAACTTGTTGACAACTCATCATTTCCTCTCACAACTCTTCTTATTATTTGGAAATGAAACAAACTTGAGTTTTGGATATGCTTTCCTATTCTTTACTTTATCATTTCATATCAAATACAAGTTTTGGATTCCTTACACATCCTAAAAAAATTTAAATTTGGTTTCTTGTTAGAGAATTCATTTCCATAATTTTATGAAAATGAACCAAACAACCCCTAAGCACCAATCAAATTTAGTGCTTGGTAGTGGGCGGTCACTTATTTAAAGAGGACCACCTTCACATGTGTGCACATGAGTTAAATAATTGAATGAGTATATATATATAGAGTAAAACTCCTATCAACTTAAGTGGACGTCCACTAAGTTTCTTATCCATTGATGATTACTTGATTGAGCTACATTGTAGATGATCCGCTCCGTTAAACTTGATCTACATATTCTAAAACCCTAACACACCAAATTTGGGGTGAACCCGTCGTTGTTTGACCCTCCGTCGAGCCATGTAAAAAGTTCTATTCATTCAAAACCGTTAAAATTGATACGAGTGGATGAAGGGTCAAACCACAACAGGTTCACCCCAAATTTGATGTGTTGGGGTTTTAGAATATGTAGATCAAGTTCAACGGAACGGATCATCTACAATGTAGCTCAATCAAGTAATCATCAACGGATAAGAAACTTAGTGAACGTATGAGCGATAAATTATTCAAAACATGACCGCTTTGAACAAACCCTTGCTGGAGAATCAAGTGAGTATAAGAGGAGGGTAGGGTGTCATGATCAGAATGGTCTGCTCATTAAAGATTAAAATAGAGCACCAAAATTAGTCTACGCAGGGTTTGTTAATCCTCTCATCAATTTTTTTTACAATAGTATAAATTTATATAAAACCTCTCTTTCAAGATTGACCATGGTGTTATGCGGAGGCCAAGATTTTGTTAAAATATTTGTGACATTAAGTGCTTACTTATTTTGACACTTCAAAAAGTATCCTGAAAATTTTAAGTAAAATATATATGGGTGCTAGAGTGGATATGCATGGACACAAGAGCAATAAAATTCATCACAGACTTCAAATAAACAGAGAGGAGGACAAAAAAAATGAAATACCTTCTCAACCTTCGGAAATTGTGAACGCATCATTTGAAGTGCTATTGCGGTATCACTATAGGTAAGATTGTTCTCTGCATTTATACAAGCATAAACTTATTAAGATACAGTCTCAAATGCATAAATAAGTACAAGTTTTAAAAAATACGCTTTTCATGGATAATATGCTCAAGTTCAAAACCCTAGATACTCCAATTCCTAAAAGTTCTAAAACTCGTCACCATCAAGCAATTCATCTAGAAATTAGCATAGTCGAGGTCCTAAAAATACAAGAATTTGAACTAAATGTAAATCAATCGGAGATCAAACGGAGTACCAAGACTGAGAATTTCACCGTCATCATCCTCTCTCGCCCGCTTCTTGCCGATCGAACTAGAGCTTTCCGCCATGAAATCGGAAATGAATCCCTTGAGAGAAACTCATGAAATGATAATTTTATTCTCATTCTCACGTTTGGTATGATTTATTCACAATTGAGAATGAAATTTAGTTTTCTAATAATGTCCTTACCAAAACACAGAATTTTAAAAATATTAAAATATTTTTAAAATGACTAAATAATTTATTTTTTAGAAAAATAAGTTTTATAGAAATAATATTTTTTCTTAGAGAAATAAATTTTCATGTGATAGTTATATTTTAGCACACCACCTCGGCAACATTTTCGGACATTTGGCTTACAAATTAAAAAATAATTTTCATAGAAATTATTTTTAATTATAAATAATTATTATTCCACCTTTCTAACTTCTAGTGCTACGTGCATTTACATATACTAGTTTTTATACACGTGCAATGCACGTGATTTAATACCATGATTAAGTATTTTTGACAGTTTGTGCTCATTTTTTTCTTTAAACTCTTACATCCCGATTATTTTTTAATGTTTGTTTAAATGAGATACACCCAATTTAAATTTTCATGTTAATATTTGAATTGACAAAAAACAAGTATAATTTAAAAATAATTTGAATTTTCATATTATTTTCGACCGATATGAAACTAAGCTTTATTTGAGAAAGTATAACATTACAAAGTAAAAAATATTAAAATAGTGTTATACAATGAAGGTGAATATTTAAAACCAATATGGCAAAATGATTGATTTAAAGTATGTTAAAACGATGCAAAAGAGAATATAAAATTTATTTCTAATCATTGATAGACTTCATTAAAAAATATAAATTAAAGATTAATTCTAACTCTAGTATACTTTTATATGATAAAAACATCCACACAAGAATATAAAAGTACTGAAAAAAATTCATGAAACTCTCTTCACTTAAAATAATTAAACTATTCTATAAAATATTCATAAAATATTATTTTTATTTCTTCTATTTTATTTTTTATTGAGTTAAGATCAATCCTTCTTCAGG